CACGGCGCATGAAATCGTTAGATGACACCTGTTGGCGCTCGTCGGTCACAGCTCGGCACTGAGAGGACATTTGTGATAAACAGAATACTGGCATTCAGCTGTTACTGCCAAACAGTGTTACGAATATTGCTAATGAAACTTTGATAGGTATTTTAATGTATTTACACCATTTGTAAATTAATATGTAAAATGTTTAAAAGAACTTTTACATATGGGAAGGGAATCTGTTTAAGAATCCTTTTGAAGATTCTGTTCATATTCAGGTCTGTCTTGTTGGTGAATCTGTTTTATGTGTCATAATTTGTAGATATGCTGTTCCATTTTTTTGCATACCCCTGGAATATGAGATGTAATGTACACAGCATGTGTTAACATATCTTAGCATCTTTGACTTGTAAAGACAAATTATTCTGGGCCCGGTACGGTGGCCTAGCAGCTGAATTCCTCATCTTGAACATACCAGGATCCCATATGGGGCACCAGTTCTAATCCCGGCAGCTCCACTTCCCATCCAGCTCCCTGCTTGTGGTCTGGGAAAGCAGTGAAGGACGGCCTCAAGCCTTGGGACCCTGCACCCATGTGGGAGACCTGGGGGAAGTTCCTGGCTCCTGGCGTCAGATAGGCGCAGCTCAGCCGTTGTGCTCACTTGGGGAGTGAATCATTGGACGGAAGATCTTCCCCTCTGTCTCTCCTCTGTATATCTGACTTTGTAATAAAAATAAATAAATCTTTAAAAAAAGACAAATTATTCTATTTCTTTGGGGAACATTCAGAGAAATTTTGTTAAAGGTACTACACTTGTCTTGTTTTTGGCCGTAAGAACTCTGAAAGTTGTGAGATTTTGAGTGATTTGATTGGTGAGATCTGGAAAGCCACTTCTTTGGGAAGCTTCTTTTTCAAATAATCGTGACTGAATCAATCATTAGGAATGAAGCGTGATGCTCTTAAGATTGTGTGCGTGGCTTCTTGGTAACCCATTATATATTATGGGTAATAGTTTATATATAGGGTCTAATAATTTATTTCTTAAAAGTTATGGTATTGAGGAAAAATTACAAAAAATGCTTCATGGGAGTCACATTTGATTTTTAAGTGATTTTCTTAAACGTTTAGAGTGTGTTTTATTACGTTAAGCTTGTTTCGGAAGTTGTTGAGGTCTGCCATGTAAGGTTATGTCAGGAAGGGGATGTAGTTCGCCATTTTTTAGGTACTCAGACGCTTTTACTTCTCTTACAGGTTTTGTTTCATTTTGGGCTCATTTCCACAGTTGTGCCCAAAATTTCAGATGGGACTAAAGGCAGTAGCAGAAGTCAGTTGCCTGCACTTACTGTTGAACTTATCTGTCTGGAGTCCACTGCGCGGCTGCACTGGTGTTTTTGAATTGCTGCTGTTCTTTTTCCTGGAACGTGACCGAATGGCTCTGCTAGGGCTGGCTCACAGAAGCCCACTGTTGCTGGGAAGAAGTGCTCATTGCCTGTGAGCCCTCTCCCATGGGGGTCCAGGTCCTGACCTCTTAGTGTCCCCGCCTTGCTTGGGCCTTCCTGTTACAAACAGGGCCCAGGGTAAAGGTAGCTTTGCTGGGGACGTGTCTGGTGAGGACCGTTGACCTGTCCCCTGGCTTGCGCGAGCCCTGAGGAGGGTTAGGCTCTGCCCTGGCCTAGCTCTCTCAGCGCCGCGAAAGGCGTGTTCCCCAGGACCGTCAGTCTGGTGCTTCCCACCAGCACTGAGGAAGGTCAGGAACAAGGTCTCGTTTTAGAAGCCTGCCTCGAACATTCCAAAATCATGTTTGGTCAGTGGTTTACATGGACAGATCACACATGCATCATTTTTGAGAAGTATAATTAGTTGCCTTAACTTGTTTTTAAAAATCAAAATTCAAGGGCACAGTGGTTTAGTTTTTTCTGTTTGTTTTGGCCTTGGCTTTTGGGTGATTGGGGTTTTTGCCTGTTCAGTTAGTAACCATGAAGTTTGACAGCGTTGAATCTTATATGAAGATACTTTTAAATAATGTTTGTGGAGAGCTCATTTTAAGGAAAAAGCTATTCATTGACTTTGAAATCTTTTTCTAACAAGCAAAAACTTAAGTTGTAATTCAATTTTTCCAGGAACTTTTTGGCACGCCCTTGCATTTCATTAGAGATAATTACCCGATGGTTCCGTGGGTGTAGACTCTTCACTTGGTCTCCGATGGCTGCAGTTGTAACGTGCTTTCTTTTCATGTTTAAAGCCTTTGGAATGGCTTTTGGAAGCAACGCTGTGTCTTATTTTTGCAGTATCTGCCATATTACAATTGTGTTGAATCTTAAGGATATATTTTGATTTTGTTAACCAAAAGTAATTGCAGAATATTAAACATTAGAGCTTTCTTAGAGCTTTCTTCCCATTTAATTTGGGCTTTTGTTGTTCCTAACAAAACATTGTGTGGCACGGTTTCTTCTTGGTCCCCCCTCCGCCGCCTCCTTTTTGCCTGCCAGCATGTATGTGCCTGTCACCTTGGTGTGCGTCCCTCTCTGGTTTTGTGTGTCCTCACCTGCTCCTCACTGTAAATCATTGCCATGTCAAGGGCAGTGACTCATTCAGCTGCACGTGCAAGTCCTTTCTTCTCTTTCACCTGTCAAGCAGGAAAGAAGTGTCACAGCGAGATCAGATGGGGCTCATTCACAGCGTGTACTTAGACTGTCACACGGATAGAAATATTTTATATTTAGGTACTTATTCAGAGTCTGACGTGCCAGGGTTTGGTTTGAAACTCCTAAATTTTGTACGATATAGTTATTAGTATAAGAAACCCTATTATTATATTGAAGCCCTAATTAGATGCCAAGAGTAAATTCTAATTTATTTGAAGTAAATATTTTGAAACTTAAGGTTCATACTTTGTAATTATCTTGTGTTCAGATACTGGTAGTTGATTTAAATTACTTAAATGATTTTATGTTTTGAAATTGTGTGTACATGTGTGTACGCATGGATATTTCATGAAGAGACCCAGTGTTGCTACAACATGGTGCAAGTTCAAGTTTCCCATGGGACGAGGATGTGGGAGTTAGCTACATTTACTCGGGTTGAGTAATAAATATTCACAGAATGTAACGGTAAACTTTGGAGAACTGGTTTATATATGTTAGAGTAAACCAAGGGACTTAGAAAACTTCTGCCTACCCTAGTTTTTCATCACCACCAGCCGCCCTAAGCCATCAGTAAAAGTAAAGCTTCAAATTGTATAGTAATCTTAATCTATTATTCAGAGGACTCAGAAAGGACGAATACCAGGTAGGTTCAGGTCTGAATCGGTCTGCCGTGGGCTTAGCAGCAGCGGGCGGGCAGGCAGATGCCTGCTCCGCGCAGCGCCTCCTGCCATTTCTCACCATTGATAGAGTAGCCTTTCAGAGTCAATGAGCTTGTCAAGGCGACAACTTCACAGACCTGAGAGGCGGTTTGAGAGGTCAGCCCTTTTCAGGTTCGCTGTGATGCAAATGAACCTTAATGCTTAAACAACTATTGGAATTTTTATGTCTGCTCCTTGTTCTTTTTTCTTCACAAAGTCATTGACGAGACGTTCAGTGCTTTTTAAATTGGAAGTTGCATTGTGCTAAAGACCTAGTACAGATTTACGGAGGGCTGAAAGCAGTTAGATCATGTTCTTTTCATGGTGCGATTAGAATCAAATCGATTTCCCTCCAGCCTTCAGCTTTCAGATGGCAATTTTAACAAAGCTTGGGGGCTAGACAAGGGACAAAACGACTGAACTGAATGCTAATTACACTCTGCAGCCTTATTTTCTTTTGATTTGGGGCTGACTGGCAACTAAATTAACAAAAAGTGTGACCATAACTGCTGCCCTATTTTCATTTAAAAGGAGAGCTGCCTCTAAACGGCTCTCTGGACAAAGCAGCCAGTGAGGTCTGCTCATCATTGTTAACAAGGGCACTTCTTTTTCCTTTAAAATTCTTGCCAGAAAGACTGTTCCCAAAAGGTAATGCAATAAATTGGCTCTTGGCGTTGCTAGTGTCCTGAGAGGTGGTGCGTTTTCTGATCCCTTTATGAGATGAACTTGAGAAGTGGAAGGCAGTAGTGGTGGCTGGTTAGTAGCTATGGCACCTGTGTGACTTTGGTGTGTGCAGTGTGTTCCATATGCTAAAAGGCAAGATGATCACTGGATCACAGAAGATCCTCTGAATAAATATGGATCGTTTATCGGCCATCAGTCAGAGCCCATGGTGCCTCACCTGCCTTACTCTGTGACGTGTGGATTTTCACGGGGGCTTGTTAGCACTGCTTTACAGTGATCCGCACGCACAACAGTGGCAGCTTTCTCCTTGGCTTGCAGGAGTCCCGCAGCTGCAGCGAGTGGCAGTGCTGTCACTTTGGCACCTGCGGCTGTGTCCGTCACATCCTGACACCTGGCACCATGAATTATCTTCTCTTTTGTGCCCACTCCAAAGCAAGAAACGTGTCATGTTGCATAGTGTGGATTGCAGCAGTGAAGTGAAGTGAATTTCTCAGTTCCTGAAATAGTATGAAGACTTTGATTTTGCTACCAGATGATGCTTTTATGTCAGTTTACAGACAAAGTTGGGCTATTGCTGGAAAATCTATCTGTGGGGTAATCAGTAAACTGGCTTTTAAGTGTGGCCATTTCTTTTAACTATAATAGGAAAATTAGTTTACATATGACTGGTTTTTTCATTAATCAATTTTGAGGTTTTTTAAAATTTACTCAAAAGATATGTTTGTGTTTTGTTAAAAAATTTTTCATTACTTTTTAAGTATTGCAAAAATATTTTTGAAAGAAGTTGGGTGGTTAAATTGACACCTTCTGTGGAGCTTTTTAGACTTTTGACGGTCTCTGTCGGAGCCTTGAGAGCTTGGCAGTGCTGCTGACAACCCTGCGCCCAGGCAGTGTCTTATCTTCCTCCCCTGTTCACACAGAAAGCAGCTGCAAAGTAAAGTTTTTCTAAACTGGTTGAGAGTGAACTTTTTTCTCATTTGTCTTCCAGACACGAAGATCGATTGAGAAGTTATTAGAATGGGAAAACAATAGGTTATACCACAAGGTGAGTACCGCAGGGAGCAGCTTCGGGCTGTTGGGGCCTGAGCCGCGCAGTATGGAAACAGATGCTTTTGTTGAACTAAAAATATGAAAGGTGGACAAATGGGTCAGTCTGTGTCCGCAGTCCAAAGGAGCTCATTTTTCTTCCTTTCCTCTTCTGCTTGTCTAGCTGTGCTTGCACTGGAGACTGAGCAAAAGGAAATGTGAAACGAATAACATGATGGAATATGTAAGTTAAAGGGCTGTTTTGTGAGTTTCTCTATTAAATGATCATTTATTTTGCCTCTGATCTTATTCTTTCCATGATTATTAATCAGCAAAGATGTCAGGAGCTTAATCTCCTGAGTGCAAGGATTTTCTACGGTTCACAGATGCATGGGTTGATGTGCAAAGACTGATTTATAAAGTTATGAATGACTTGAAAACAAGGCTTTGCTGTGTTCTGAAAAATAATAAATTAATTGCCAAGATAAAATAGCCTGAACGTGTGCTGATGGAGTGTGAAATTTTAGATGCTGGGTGAAGAATAACCACGACTTTGGTTACGCAGCAAGGCGAGATATGGCTTTTCATATCATGCTAATCGAGTTCCCCAGGATGGGAGAAAAGCTCTGAGCACAGCCTTTGGGGCCTGAGAACCCTTGGCCCGCGCAGCTCTGGCTGCCCGTGGACCTGAGGCCTGGCCCGAGCGCTCAGAGGCCTCGGCGTGGCTTTGTCCGAAGTGTCTTAATGAGCAGCGAGGCCATGTCACGCATCCTGGGCTTATTCCTCCCAAAGGGCCTAATTTCACCTGTTGGTCGAGTCCATTCGGATGCCCTTCCAACTGTTTCTCTTTCTTTGGAAAGTCCAGAATATTACAGAAAATTACAAACTTTTGTTTATCCTCCCTTAAGCTTGAGTGTTTTGTTTTAACCAGGGAAAAGTATTACATTAAAAGAAAAAGATCTAAGGAGAGGTAATTGTGTGTGTGTGTGTGTGTAAGATTCAACAGTGTTCACAGAATTGGAAAGGATCAGGAAGTCATTTTTTTTGTCAGCATTTTCCTATTCTTCTGACAGTCAAATCCCATTTCTAGTCTTGAACATAAAAGGTGTTTTAAAGGTTTTTTTCATAGACTAGCTCTAGTCAATTCACTTATTAATGTAGATTTTATTTTTATTAAACATGTTAATTCATAATGATAAGAAAGATTTGATACTTATAAAAAAAGTACATTCAGGTAGGCTGTTTTGAGGTTAACCTATAGAAATGCTAGTTTAAATTCTCATCATAGATAGTAAAAGGATTTACATATGTATTTGGGGTGGAAAGATGGATATTTAGGAAATTTAAAGGATTTTGTGAAAAAAGTATTTGCAATATTTATAAACACAGACTGAAAACTTACATACTTATAAACCACAGGCTTAAAACTGAGAATTTAGTGTGTGTGTCCATCTCTAGATTCAGTTTGAGAAGGACAACATAAAAGTTATTTTAAAATCTATAATTTTCAGCTACACTTATTAGACTATCAGTTATTCATAAAATATATTTATTTTATGAGATTCTTTTACTAAAAGTAGCCTTCTGGAAGCTCTCTGAGCTGTGTGCAGTTGTGATTTCCTGTAATTCACCGTGAATTTAGACAACTGAGCACTTCCACTAAAGTCATTTTTCATTCACCGTAATATAACCAGAACAGTATAAAATGAAAAATATTTAAATTGCTCTAAAATGTTCTTCTAGAGTTTCCTCAGAGTTTACAAATTTGTGATAGTCGAAAGTAGGAATAACCTGATTTTAAATATTGCCTAAGAAAAAATGGAAGAACAAAATCGCGTGACATTTTTAAGGTAGCAAGCAGCTTGTTTGGCAGAGAGTCCCTCTGTAATGTCGTATGCCTTCTCACGCCGCCTGTCTAACCTGCACACGTTTTGGTAAAGGAAACTAATTCCCCTTGGTTATATTTTGAATTTTGTAGATCACACAGAGGAAAAAAGACCAATTGGAGACTAACTTTTTCTTGTTTAAATTTGGTAGGTAGAATCTAGGAAAAGAGAGACGAGTGGTCAGTTCTATGTTCCTTCGAAATGAACAATTCAGATAGTCATGAGATTGCTAATACCACGTGACTGAGAGTGTGTATGACATGCAGAATTATGTACTGAGAACTGATTCGTGAGAAGTTTAACTATTTAATCACTCCCTTTTGTGGGCAGGAAAGCCAGAAACAGAAAGCTAGTTCACATGGAGCAGTGTCCTGAGTAACCGGCAGGAGCCCGACACGGGAGCTCTGCCGGGGCAGGTGCTTTCTGGAGAGCCGAGACGTAAAGGAGAAGGGCCAGCTCGATGGCTGCCTTGGGAGATGCTCAGGTCTGGAGGTTGTGTCGAAGCAAGCTTGGGAACGATTCCAATCAAATAGTTTGGTCGGCCGGCATCTGTTATGTAGAGAATTGGAGCAAAGGCAACAGCTGATGTGTAATTTAAGAAAGTTGAAGTTTGGAACAAAAATTAGCTCTGACCAACTGTGTATTTGTGTGTTCCTGTGTTTGTTTTGTTGATTTGTATTTGATTTTCTGTTCAGAATTTCTTTAGAACAAATTTGACCTTGAACTTTGCTAACCTAAAAGGAAATACACTTTGGAAAATGAAACAGGAAAGACCCGTGCCCTTTCTCTAGAGACCGCATGTGCAGTAGAAGGAAGGCAGCTCTAGAACTTGCAGACCTGTGGCACTGGGTTCATGAACAAGGAGAGCCTGAAGAACAGCAGGAGTGGCGAGTCAGGCACAGGACACCTGGGGAGTCCAACACAGGTGCTGGCTCACCAGACCGTCACGCAGGGGTGGTGACACTTGCCACCCTGTGGAGGAGTTGTTGAGGTGGAGCACACACGTCCACGTGGTGTGAAATGCTGAGAATGCCCTGCAGCTCTCAGGGCTGTCCTATCCATCCGTGTGTGCACACGTGTGCAGGTTCCCCCGGTGTGTCAGGGACACTGGCTTTATCACCTCCTCCCCCTTCCCCAACTCACCCTCCTCTTCTTAGGGCTGAGGTGTTTTGCACATCTGGCTTAAGGTCCAGAAAAGTTGTTGGCGACAGAGCGCTGTGCCGTGGAATAACGTATTTTAATTATACAACGTTGTCATTTTGAAATGTGAATGCATCCCTCAGATTGTAACAGATGGGATAGAGCCACAACTGAAATTGTAAGATCTAAACCTGTTTATAAACACCCTGTTACAACTTTTTCTCCTTTTACAGGTCATCCTCATAGAATTTTTACCAAAGACACCGATTTTTCGACCAGATTAGCATTGACTGTGTTACAGACTTTGCAGTGCGCTGTCTTCCCAATGGTGCCTTGCTTGGTGCTCTCCTGGTGGTGACATTACGTGGGCTCTGCAGAAGAGAGTGGCGTCCTGTTCTGTTATTTTAATAACCGCATGTTCTAAGTGTGCATTTTTGTCAAACTTTGCAAGTTATTTCATACAGATGTTTAATACTTAAGTTATTGTGCCCTTTTCTGTTATGTGTTCTGATTTTCGAGGATTACTTTTTTGTATTCTCAAAAAAATACATTTGAACTTAGCATAAAAAGTGGCCAGCCTTTTTTATTTTATCACCAAGGTACGCACAATTCCTTGCTGATGAATTCCTTGCCGTGGAAGGACACCTTTGTAAAGCTCTACTCATCTGTTGGAGCAAGCACACTGTTTCATTTTTTTCCTTTACACTTAGCCGAGTCTTTACTTTTAGGTTGCACGTGTTCTTTAACAACCTGTGGGACCTGACGTAACCCTTCTCACACAACTCGCAGAGCTCTGCCTGTGCCGGCCGAAGGCCCACCTGCCTCCCAAGGTAGTCGGCAGAAAACCGGTTTCTGTTAGAGTAGACAAGTCAGTGGGTGATATGCATGCATCTAGTGGTTATAGAGCTCAGGGCCACAGAACAGAGTAGCAGCCCAATCTGTGTATTTCTACCAAATGATATTAATAATGGCCTTTCTTGGGTTATTTTTATTGTTTGTCAAATCTTATATAAAAATACGGAAGTATTCCTTTTAAACATTTCTAAGAAAAATATTTCTCCCGGTCTAATGTCACTGTAGAATATTTGTGAAGACCTTCTGAAAGCAGGCCGAGGTTCTAGGGTTCAGAGCAGGCTGGTGTCTGACACCGTGCTGAGCCCGAGAAGGATCGAGGCCAAGAGGTGGACGCGGTGTCCGGGACCGTTGCGTCCACGTGTTTTCCCAGGGCAGTCAGTTCCTGTTCCTTTACGTGGTTGAGAACGTGACAGGCGCAGTTGAGTCAGATGGGCGTGTCTTCCACACCCTTGTCCGTACACAGATCCCCCCTTTGGCAATACATAGCTCCATGCATTTTAAATGCTTTCAGGATTGCTGAATGACTTATGTGTAAACTTTTGTTTTTATAAGCCTGAAATTATGCAAGTTTTCATGTGTGTCAACAACTTGTTCCATGCAACTGTGGTATCAAGCAATAATGTGAATAACTTTTGAAATTATATAAACTTTGCTTAGTAATTTGTATTAAGAATTGGTACCACCATATAATACCTTTTTTCTTTGTATTAAATCTTTTAAATACCAATTTGATTAATTTATATATCTGTATTTTTTTTAAAAGTATTTCTTTGTACTTCTCCAGAGTACTGTGCTTCTATATCTAAATCTGAATAGTTAAATGCCCAGCATCTTATAGGAGCGACCTCAGGAGCTGTCTTAAAAACTAGGATTTTCAAACAAAGGGTTTTTGGCTGAGAGTTAGGTGTTTCTGTTGCTCCTTAAATAATAGCTTGAATTTATAGGACGCGTGACCTGTGAAGAGCTGCAAGTGCCAAGAATCCAGATTCTCTGTTGGGCCCAGCCTTGTCCCCCGCCTTGCAATGGTGTGGCTGGCAGCGGGCTCCCGTACTGCACCCCGGTTCCCCAGGGCTGCCGTGACTCGACCTCTGACTCCACATAGTGCAGAATCTGCTTTCAGACGGGCCGTGACCGTGTGACTGTGCAACGCAGTGTTCCCTTGTGGGATCGTGTAGGTCCGTGGGCTGACCAACTTTGTAAAAGGAACTTACTGTTTAGACTTTGGTTTTGGTCCTATTATTGTTCTGTCAGTCATAATTTTGAAAATTATTATATTCCTGTAAGTATATTTTACAGTAAGATCATTTTCATAGCTGGTGGTATTTGAAGTATAAGATTTTTTAAAAACTTTTTATTGAGCACTGTGTTAGTTGCGTGAAGACTTCCTTGTCCAGCCAGTGTGTATAGAAAAGAACAGAACGCTCACGGGTGGCACCCCCGCCACTGATTTGCCTTCAGCGGTTGGATCTCCGTGCTTGGGTTTTCCTTAGTGATTCAGTGGGACTCTGGCTTGCGAGCTTAATGTCCATGACCCTGGACATTGTTACATGATGACCGTCCAAGGAAGGGTTTGAAATGCCTGTTGTGCACCTGGCTTCTGACTTGGGACCTGAGCCATACGATGGTGTTTTACAGCTGTTGCAGCAGATCCAGTGTAGAGCTTTTGCTTCCATAGGCCAAGGATTGTTTTTTTAATGTACCATTGGTATTTTATAATCAGGCAAGACTCCTGAGTATAAGCATTCTTTTCTCAAATAATAGACTTTCCAAACCCTATTATACGCAGGATCTTCAAAAAGTCCTAGGAAAGCATGTATTATGAGAAAAAAACTATGCATGATTTAAAAACACTTTTGCACCAAAATAGCTTATGTTCTAATTGCATCTTTCCACAAACCTTTTTAAAGCCCTCTTCTATTTTAACATATGACGTTGGAGATCTTGGCTAGCGTGGATGCCCCAGAGCCCAGCAGCTCTAGTCAAACTTGATGTGACACAGTTGGCCCCTCCCTCCCCAGGGCCTCGCCCTCATCCATCCACGTGGCCATCACGTGTTTGTTAGGACTCTCAAGGACTAGGTTTCATTCGTATAAAAAAATGGACATGTAATTTTGGCCTAAAGTCAACAAAATTAATTCAATAAAACCTTGAATAAAAGTAAACAGTGATTTTCCTTTTCTTATTAGAATAAAATTTGTCCTATAAGTGAATAATTTCCAGCCAGGAGAGCCCACCGTGATTGTGTTTTCAGTGGTATTTGCAGAGAGCTTCTCCTGATGGTTTTTGTGTGTTGGCACACACATGTGGAGCACACACCTCTGTCAGCATTGCACAGCAGCCTTTGTGCAGGAGTGATACCAGGGAGTGAGCGTGTGAGTTCAGACTCCACTCGTTCTGTGTTGATACATCATGGCCAGACTGTCGGGGCTCATAGTATTTGATGTCACAGTTGCAACCTGACAGTAAGTAGGTGTTTTGGTTTGCTGCTGGTCAGTAGTCCTGAGTCCATCTCAAGCACCCTGTGTCCACACTGTCAGTGACTAGACTGCAGCATCCAACCCGGATGCTCCTCTCCGCCCTCCTGGCCCCTGTGTGGTCTCCTGGACTCCAGCAAGCCTGAGCTCAGCAGGGCCTCTGTCTTCCTTGCAGGCCCCTCGCCCTGCTGAGAGCAGCTTGCATGTGGGTTGGGTTTCGCTTGTCTGGGTCCAGGCACCCCGCACACACGGCCGCCTCCTGGGATGCTCCCGGGCCACCCTTTTGTCTAATTGAGGGAATGAAAAACAGGCCTAAACCAAGCTGCTTTATGGCCCCTAACAGTTTGTGCTTAAAGGGAAAAAAGATTCATTTTTTGTTGATGTAGCAGCCAAATTTATGGTTCTGTAAGTTTTTTAAATTCTCAATTATCTTGTTTTACAGCATTACAGAGATTCAGAGAAATCAAGTATTGTTTATGTTATTAGTCATATATCCTAACACATAATACTGAAAACAAAGATGTAGGATGCTACTTTTGATTTTCTGAATTCCTTTCTGGTGTCCTACAAAATCATGAACTTACTTGGTCTGTCTGCTATTCATTTCCACAACAAGAATATTCTATGACCGACCTCATAGCGTAAACTCATGAAACAATGTTTTTCAATCATTTTTATCTTCTGGTTATTTATTCAGTATTTTATGAAAGTAAGCAGCTGATGCTTGTGAGTAATTTTGCATTAAGAATGCATCCCCTAAACATTCTTGTGTGTTGAAGAGCCCCGCCAACATTAGATAAGACAGTTGAGAAGAGCTCCTGCAAGACCTTTGGAAATATGCTGCAGGTGAGAAAAACTGAGCAAAAGCCTGCTTTTTTAATCCCTGTGCTTTTAAAAACTCTTTGAGAGTTAACTGCTATTTTCTCTTTCGAAAAATAAAGTGTATAGTTTTATGTCGGAGCTGTTTAGATGAGCTGACCGCATGGGGCAAGCAGCTTACCCAGGACTTGTGTTGCTGCTGCCCTTTGCTGTTCTGATGTCCGCCAGCCTTCAGAAGGAGATGGGGATGGCTCGGGGATTTCTCTGCAAACAGCTGAACTACGTTCCCATTCATGTCTCCTCCTGCTGTGTAATTCAGCAGACCTGGTTCTCATTCTTTTTGTTGACATAAAACTGGAGCTCTAGAATGTTCCAGGAGGGTCTTCACCTGCATGATAAACCTTTTGCACTAAAGTGAAGGTCTCCTCCTAGCAGCTTCTTAGAGAATTATAATCCTGCTCATTTGCTAGGAAGGCTTTGTAAACAGGTATGTGTTTTCACTTAGCAGCGTCTCTTTTCCTTCTGTTTTCCATTGTGGAAGCTGTTAACATTTGCCCCCTCAGGAGGGTGAAGTGGAAGGAAAGAGGACCGGGTCGGAGGCGGGCTGGGAGACACCCTGCCTGAGAGGGTACGTGGGTGCTTGTCTGTCACGCTGGAAGGTGTTTTTCAGAGCATGAAAGAAAAAGCCTTAGTGGGGAGCTGCCTTGGAGAGAATACTCATATCCATCTTTCATAACTGCCATCTGGTGGGGCAGGAGCGCTTGGCCACGGGTTCCAGAGACTGTCCTTCGTTTGAGTTTTCACATGACATTCCCCAAGGGTGAGTGAGCATGCAGAACAAAGCAGGATATTAACTGCCTTCAAATCATTGTGGTAGTGTTCAGGTAAGTCTAGTAACTTGTTAATTGAAGTTAAAGTATCAGGTTGAATTTCTAGGCATGCATTACACTTTACAGTCAATATTAACAAACCTGGTCTTTTTAGAGAGAGGTTGTTGTTGATAGAAAATTGTTGGATTGTTCCAGCTGAGGAGGGTCCTGGGTTGGTGTTACCATTACCGCTGAGGAGACTGGCTTGTGGTCTTGGGTTAGTGTTACCGTATGGTTAGTCGTAGGATGTTAAATCTGTGTTGACTAGTTAACAAATGGAGTGCTAACTTGTGTTAAGGGATTTTTTTTTTTTTACTTTCTGTTTGTTTTGGCCAGTTGGGTGTTATTTTTAAATGGGCTTATTGTAACATGTGATTGCAACAGTAATGCCATGCCTGTAACTGAAATATGGCTAATTTATACCATTTGGTCTTTAAGAACTCACATAAAAATTGAAGTGTTAAGCACCTTTAGGTGGAGTTGGGAAGGGGAGCCTGGGACATCACACCAGTGCACACTGACCCAGCGCAGCGGATGTGGAAATCAAATGACTACATGCACACCCTTGGGGAGATGTGACCTGCACAGATGGCTGGTGACAAAATGATTGCTCTGAAATTATTATTTCAGTGGGGACTGTGTGCAGTGAAGTTAAATAAAATATGTGATTATAACATGGTTAGGAAAAAAGCATAGAAGTGCAACTTTATTATTTTTCACAAAAGATTTTGATTCTCCCACATTTTAAGATAGCTGCAGCTTTTAAACAGGATTCTCAAATATCTGAAGTAAGTTTCTCAGGTTTCTGGAAGTAGTTCTCTACTCTTGTAAATACAAACATTCAGCAGTATCTAAACTTGTGTGTTGCCTTGTAGTGTCAGGGAACTGTCACCATTCATTTTTTACTCTTTGACTCCGCTGGGCCAGATCCCAGTGTAAATCTTCACAGAGTAATTCCAAGCTGCACACACACATGCCTGCACATGTACACACATGCACATAGCTGCAACACGCACATGCATCCCCAGAGCTGTAATTGCAAGCTGCAGAAACATGGATGCCATGTGCCATGGCAGTGCAGGCGCCTTTCCCTGCCTTACCTGGTTGCTTTCCAATGAAAGTTTCTACTTAACCCCTAAAAAAATTTAAAAGATTTTGTTTCTGGGTAATTTTTGTCTGATTGAATCATCTCAACATTCTTTAAAATAATTACTTTCTTGTTTTCTGAATTTCTTTCATTTCTTTTTCCATCCCAACAAGAAAAAATGTGAACACTCTCAGAAGTGTGTTACCCGTCGCTCTTGCGGGGTTTACTGTCAGCATCCAATGCCGGGAGCCTGAAGGACGACTCAAGCCCCCTAGTCTGGTCTTAGATGTTGTTAGGTAGCCATTCAATTTTCTTTGCATTGTGTGAGAGATGATTTTTTTTTTGAGGCTTTTTTGTTTGCTTTGCTAAAGAAATCAACCAAGGGGAAAAAAAAATCCTAAAAAAAAAAAAAAAAAACAAATAAAAAACACCCTGTGGCTCCCGTGAAGCATGCAGGGCCTTGTAATTCCAGTTTGCAAAGAGGTCTGATACAATGTTGCTGAGCACGATAGATTTAATGTCGCCAATTGTGCACTTCTGAAAAAAAGAGTAACTGTTCCCTCTGAGTTAATTTTGGATTTTTTCAAAATCTCTCTTTTAGGCTTTGTGCTGGATTCTTCCAGACAAATGCGTATTCCATGTGGGCCACTGTTCGGCTAAATGCTCTCAGTTCTCCCTTTGCAATCAAGATTATGTTGCTAAGGAGATTTTGCTTTTATTGGTGCCATTGATTTGTGTTAATACGTTTTGAATACCTCTGGGTATTCTTCCGTGGACAAGGCCAAAAGAAAAACTTCCCCGAGTTTCCCAATTTACATTACAAATGGAGCGGGGGTGTAATGAAGCCAATATAAAGTGGGCAGTTGAAAGGGAACTACAGAAGGGCACTCAAGTGAGAAATGAAGGACTATGTGAGTGCAGGCCTCGGGCTGCCCCGGGTCCAGCTGCAGGACCTGGCTGCCACCGGAGGTAGTGCGAGCAAGCTCCTCCTCGGCCCAAGACCACCCACCTGTGGGGCCTGGGCTGGCATGCTGGAGGTACCCTCACTGACTCCCGGCCCTTTGGGAAGTGGGTGACTCCTGTCAGGTGGCATGGGCGACTCACCTTTGGAGCGTGGTCAGGGCCAGACCTTCCTGTGCTGTTTTGGCCAGTTCATGAGGACATGCCGTTGGGTTGTGGCCTTTGTCGAGAAGGCTGTTAAGCAGATCCAACAGTTCAGTTACGGCCCCCTTACTTCAGTCTGCGCAGATGCAATGAGGGCAGGGGCGACCAGCCAGGCACTGCCATCGCTCCGCCATTGGCAACTTGGTGAGGACGCTGGCCTGTACCTTTGTGTCACTGTCACACCCCTGAGTGTTTCCATGCGCCTTGGCCTTTTAACAAAGAATGCTTAAGTGTCTCAAAGCAGAAACGTCAAAAATAAAATAGAAACCGGAGGGAAATTGCTAAGGAAACCTGAGGAACTGAAAAATCCGTCACGGTGCCCAGCGTGGTAGCCTGATGGTTAAAGCTTCGCCTTGGAAGCGCCGATGCCGTGTGGACACCGCCTCCCTCTCGCTGCTCCGTTTCCCATCCAGCTCTCAGCTTGTGCCCACCCACGTGGGAGACCCGGAAGATGCTCCTGGCTTCGGATCTGACTGGCCTGGGGAGTGAACCAACAGATGGAAGATCTCTGTCTCTCCTCTCTAAATCTGGTTCTCCAATAAAAATAAATAAATCTTTAAAAACAAATCTGTCACACGGAAAGTACTCAGGTATGCACTGCACACCTTGGAAATGAAAAATGACTGTTTGCATTGGAAATGTGCTGGTTAATTCCTTCAGCAAAACAGACTCTCCATTCTAAGCCCTGTGATGTTGAAATGGGTAATCTGCCGGGAAACTGGAAAGCTGTGAAGTTAGCAGAAGGCAAACCTGGAGTTCATGTATTTTACCATTTCTTTTCAGATTTTCCCCAAAAATGATGTTTGTCATTGCACTTCAAATGGATGAATTCTGAAACTGCAGGTAAAATATAGCATTTATTGTCATGTAACAAAGTGCAAGTTACGTATACTTCTGGGAGAAGGAAGGAGGGTTTTGGTTTTTAAACAAGGTTGATTTATTGTATTTGACAGAGTTACAGAGGGAGAGGGAAAACAGAGACCTTTCATCTGCTGGTTCACTCCCCAAATGCCTGTCCAAAGCTGGACTGGGTCTCCCATGTGGGTACAGGGGCCCAGGACCTCAGGCCGTCCTCCAGGAACTTCCCAAGCTATAAGCCAAGGGCTGGATCAGTAACTCCGGTTTGAAGCTGAGAAATAGGAATTTTGATTCCCAGCTTGCTGGTTCTGGTCGTTACTGGTCTCTGTGTTCATTGTCCCACCTCTTAGACCGCATGACCCTGAAGTTCAGAATTGCAAGAACGTGGGATGGGCTGCTGCTGAGCTGCTGTCTCTTCGTCACCTCAGGGTGCTGAGTGCAGTGGCCGCCCCTGCCGCTGAAGGTTGCTTCTTGGTGATGCAGACCCAGGAGGCAGCGCTGGCAGCGCCTGGGGCTAGGTTTCTGGCTCCTGCCGTCGGCCCTGGCACAGCCCCAGCTGTTCCAAGCACTTAGGAAGGGTGAACCATCTAATGGCGGGAGGCGGGGGAGGCAGTCTAAATCTCAAATAAATAGAATTTCTGAGAAAGGACTGTAAGAATGAGAGTCAACGTTGCTGTTGTTAACTATGAAGAGTTTTGTATTTCTGCATTGAAACCTACTTAACTTACATTCACCATAATTCCCTGGCGCACGTAAGGCATGCGCTGCACGTTTACTCAGGGCACCAACTGGTTATGTGACGAAAATTCATTTCCCTCCCTAGGTAAAATTTAGCAGTGATAATCCAGCATTTACTTGGCATAGTCTTCTGTTTGCAAGTGGCTGGTACTCCTGTCCAGGAAGGAAGAGCTGGAAATGAAATACTACATACTGCTAAGCAAAGTTAGGTCTGTCAAAACTGCCCACAGTTTGGCTACGCCAGGGAAAAGTTCTTTAAGACAGGCTGGGTTCGAATCCACACCGTCATCTTGCGCCGTGCCTTCTGGCAGCGCTGGCTGCACAAGGAGCCCTGGAGGTGCTTTGTGGTGATCCCTGAAAAGCTTTGTTTTTCTGCCGGGGCAGGCCCGGTGGTGGCACAGTGGGTTAGACTGCCGTTCCTGATGCCTACAACCAGTATCAAGTGCTGACGGCAGTCCTGGCTTCTCGCTCTGTGCTGGTGTGCCTGGGAAGCAGCCGATGAAGTGCTTGTCCCCGTGTCCCATGGTGGGGAGACCTAGGCAGCATTCCTAACTCCTGGCTTCTGCCTGGCCCAGCATGGACTGTTACTGCCGTTTGGGGAAGGACCAAGGAGATGGAAGATGAATGTCTCTGCCTCTGTCATTGTTTCACATAAATAAATCAACAAATCTTTAAAAATAAAATACACTTTCTGTGACTTCCCCTCATTTGAAAAGAGAGGACATATGTAGTTTGCATATTTTCCTGGCATCTTCACCTCCCGTGCTGACCTAATTGTATGAGAGTAAGACCTAGGAAATTTGTCACATGTTACAGATCACGGGTCACTGGTGGCAGGGCCGGGACACAAACACCAGGTGTCTGATCTCTGGTTACTGCAAAAACTATTACAAGGAGATTCGTGGTTTTTCACAAACAGCAATTTTTAAAGCCATACCAAAAGTGCTCACCTGAAATGCGTGTTTTATCCCAGAGGATTCCTGGGGCTGCTGCTCGTGGCCCAACCTGAGGCAGCTAGTGGGAGCCCCGACTGGCCCAGGCTGGCTTGTCTCCCTCAGTGGTGTGGAGTTAGTTCTGCTGGCCACACAGTCTGAGAATCCAACTTGCACCGTTGGCTACTGGTTGGTTGCTCCTGAGCCCCAGCAGACCCAAAAATTCAGTTTCATAACCACAAATGCAAGGGGTGTGTTGATTGCTTTATAAAAGCTGTTTCTGTCTTGCTGCCACCATTCCATTGTGGTCCTCGAGTGGATGTCCTCTGGGGGTGGTGAGATGGAAGGGAAGGGGACAATGCAGGATTTTAGGGACTAATAAAAAAAAGGGGTGGAGGACTCCTACAAGGCCGCACACAATGCAGCCTAGGGGTGAGCATTCATGAATTTGGTACTGAAAAAATTTACATTTCATTAACATTTTAAATACGCAGGCAGGTCTGCAAATACTGGTCCGTGCATGCATGTGTGCTCACAGCACTTTCCAAGCGAGCGAGTGACTAATGTACTGTGACTGCGTCTGTGCTGGTCACCCTTGAGTGTCCGTCTTCATTTTGTCTCGTGTGCTAACTGTAACCTGCAATCCCAGTCCTGTTAGGGGACAGTGCTTGGCCCTTTCTGCAGACCTACGCATAGGAACCTGGTGTCTGACAGGTGTTTGGGGTCCTTGGGGTCACCAGCATCATTGCTCAGGGGCGTTGGAAGCCAGCTCCCCAGACTTCCCGTTCTGGAATTTCAGTTTTCATGGGTAGAAGCAAACCATCTCGAAAATGAGTGGCAAAATAAAAATGGCATACCTGATGGATAATATTCCCAAGAGATCAAAATTCCTGAAGTGTGGCTGCTGTAGTTTAGGGAAAGTGTGGCAGAGGGAGGGAAGCAGGAGGCAGCTACGGAGGTTGAGCAGTGAATTGAATTCAGTGTCTGAAGCTCTGTGAGCCAGGCTGTCCCTCAGGCTGCCAGTTGAGCATAATTGACAAGCAGGTGTGCGGGAGAGTGACAGGAAAGATCCCATTTGTCCTTGTTGGCGCCAGTAGTGATGACATCATAACTCTTGGGTCTGTCGGAGCAAGAGTTTTTCTGAGCATAAAATTGTGCATTGTCAGTTCTGCACGTGGACACCATTCAGTGGCAGAAAGTGACTGTGTCTGTGATCCTTGTCAACTGGGCGGAATGTCTAGCTGCCACCATCCCTCATGTGACAATGTGTCCTTATGCAATCTGAAAACGTAGCAACTCGGAAAAAAAATTGCTTTTTAAGATTACTTTTTTGGGATGAAAACTCTAAAATGGGCTTTCAACTCAAAAAGTTTCCAATGCTTTCTATGGATTATTTTATGGAACACTCCTGGAAACTCACAGAGCCAGAGAACTCTTGAGGATGCAACAAGGTCTTGTGCTGTCAGGGCTCAGGGGACTCCTGCGTCTGGAGGTTCCTTCCAGTACCGCTGGCAGCCAGTGTGTTCTGAGCACCAGGGTGCCCCTGTCCTCAGACCCAAAGATGCCAGCGTGTCCTCAGCACAGGCTGCCCTTGCCCTCAGACCTGAAGATGCCCGTCTTTCTGGACTGCCACATTTGCAAACGGAAATGGACAAACCTCAGCAGCTTCTCAGTTACTCTCTCAGTTGTCACTAAGTGTGCGCTGAAACTCCATTTACCCATCAAATTGCATTCTCAACAATGAACTCGAATGAAGATTATTAAAGAAACGCATTGACTCCAAACTCCCTGGAGGCTGACTTTGACGAAGGGGACTGGCAGCATGGAGACCCGAGCACTGGAAGAGGGTGGCAGAGTGTGTTCAAAGCATGCTTTGTTGTGATGTATAAAATCAACCAAGGAGATGTCTAAATAGCTTAAAACGGAAGGAATAAGGAAAGAGATTTCTGATTTGTAAATAATTAAAAATGGTTGGCAAGATCTCAAAGCCATGCCTTGGAATAATGTTTAGATTTCAGAATTTTGCTTTTTTGTTCTGACGCGATGGCTGTCCTGTTGGAGAGAGCACTGAGGACAGTGGCCAGTGTGAAAATCCCTGACAGGATGTTTTAAAACCAGGAGAAAGCAAGCAAGATAGATGTCATTACACCAGCCTATTTACATACAAAATTGATCTTAAAGGTAATTTATCAGAAACGAACAAAACTGGAAGCATTTTTTTTTTAGTTATTGATGTTTTAGTGCCACTTTAAACTTGTGTCTTCCTTATTTTTAACAGGTTTAGAATAGGTGGTCTCCTAAGCCTTTCTCCCGAAGCAAAAGGGAAAGCCCCTCAATTTTAAAAATCTGCTTTTAGAAGCTATTCCTTTACATATTTTATTCATGGGACTAAATAGATAGGTTGCCTCTTAATTATTTCACACAGGTTACCCCAATAGCTACATTCTTCACTTTAAATTATTTTCATTGATTTTGGGGGGGAGAATCAATTCTGCATTTAGAAGGTACAAAAAGTAGTAGCTTGTGTGTTTTGCTTCTTTTTAAGGATGCTCTTATTTGAAAAGCAGAGGGAGAGGGAGCGAGATGTCCCCTCTGCTGGTTAGCTGCACTCCCCCAACGGTTGGGACTCAGACAGGACCTGACTTGTCACCCAAGGACCTGAGACTGGAAGGAGACGCATGTGAGGTAGAATGGAAATGCCAGGGGTCAAGGCAGTGTGTGTGTGGGGGGACTGCAGAGGAGCCATAAGCGTATTGGGCACAAAGGGCATTGGCTGCAGCTTGGCGCGCACACAAGGGCAGCTGGACAGATATCCTGTTAAAAAATGGGCTGCCTGGGTGGGGGAGGGGAGGCAAGTGGCACAGCCGCCCACATGGCAAGCCTACGTGCCACATCAGAGGATCTGGGTTTGGGTCCTGACTGCCCCCACTACAGCTCCCTGCCAGGGCGCACCCTGGAGGCAGCAGGTGGGGGCTCAGATGAGTAAGTTCCTGCCATCCACCTGGGAGAGCTAGTAGGGGTTCCGGGCTTCTGTCTTCAGCCTGGTCCAGGCCAGGCTACTGTGGGCATTTGAGGAGTGAGCCAGTGGATAGAAAATCAATACCTTTATTTCTATCTCCCTATCTCTGTATTTTCATTTCTATCTTTATATTTCTACCTCTCTGCTGGAGTCCAGCTCCAGCTGAGTTCGGAACTCGCGAAGGGTGCGTGGATGAGGCGCGAAGAGGGAGAAAGATGGACCACTAGGATTTCATCATAATGGACCACGTGGGAAAGCTGTCCGCTTTATTTATACAGAATCAGCCAAACTCTGCTTAAGACTTTTTACGTCATGGTCAAGTGGGTGTTTCTAAAGATAACTGCCATTTGTTTCATCTAAGGCTAGGAAAAAGTTCTCAATAGATGGTGCATATCAATCAGTAACATTCCTACCACAATCTTTATTCTACAGCTTGGTCTTGAGACAGTCAAGGAAGAACTTCACAGGAGGGACCGAAAAGATCAAAGAAAGAGGGAAAGAATAAATTCCCACTACGCCTGAAGACAGAACACCCTTGATTAGCCATAGGATCAAAAGGGGGAGTTAGCATCCTTGATTAGCAAATGGTCAATGCGGGAGGGAAAGCCCTAAACCCTTTGGCTAAAACAGTATCAGCAACATCAACTTCCAAGCTCACTTCGGTAGTAAACATTAACTCCGCAGAGGCAGACAATGCCTAAATAGATTACAGAAACCTCAGTGGGGTTGTCCGTGTCCATGCAAAGGGAGGCGGAGCTGCATTCAGGTGGTGGTAGAGACATCTGCCGGGGCCCTGCCAAACAGCGGTAATTCCTTGCGGCCCTGCCTGCAATGGAACAATGCTCTTCACACCTTCCTGTCTTCCACACCCATCCCACGACCCCGGCACCTCTCTGCTTTTCAAAGAGCATGATGAGAACACAGGTACAATGTTAATGAGTTCATGGACTATGGGAAAGCACCCGCGAGAAGGCCAAGGAAGAGAGGTGGGATGGACTGGTCTTTTCACCGCCAGCCTGAGGGAGAGTGAATGGACTCGGTCAGATTTGTTTCCAGTGGAGGTCACTGTGTCCTGGAAGTGTAGCCATCGCCGGTGCTAGCCTGTCCAGCCTGGAGAGCTAGCTCGCCCAGATCCCTACAGGAAAGGACTTGCTGTCCAGCCATGAGGTCAGACTCGAGGAAGGTGCGGGGTAGAGACCTGGTCTGTCTGGGGTGAGTTTGCTGACAGCGGACAGCAATGTGTGTGAGAGGTCCTTGGCATTGGGTGCTCTATGTTGGGACTCTGTCTGCCCTTAGGGAGGGACAAGGTGTCTTCCAGTTGACCTGTACGATCATGGTTGCACAATGACCTTGGCTGTGTTCTGGCAAGCTGAAGTTCAGCCCCAGCAGGAACACGCCAAGGCTTTGCTGAGGGCTTCTCGCTTCTCACTGAGCCCAGTGCCCGGCCTCCAGCAGCAGGAACATGTCCCCCAGGGCTACGGTGCCCGCCCGCCCCTTTCCCAGTTCCCAGCCTGCTCCTGCCCTGATCCTTATCCGGTGCCCAGCTTCCTGCTGCAGGAACATGTCTCCCAGAGCCGTGGTGCCCAGCCCAGCGTGGTACCCAGACTGCTCCTGCCCTGGTCCTTGTCCAGTGCCAAGCCTCCTGCTGCAGGAACATGTCCCCCAGAGCCGTGGTGCCCAGCCCAGCGTGGTACCCAGACTGCTCCTGCCCTGGTCCTTGTCCAGTGCCCAGCCTCCTGCTGCAGGAACATGTCCCCCAGAGCCGTGGTGCCCAGCCCAGCGTGGCACTCAGACTGCTCCTGCCCTGGTCCTTGTCCAGTGCCCAGCCTCCTGCTGCAGGAATATGACCCCCAGAGCTGCAGTGCCAGCCAACTCCTCACCTGCTCCTCACCTGGTGCTATTCTGAGCTGCTGGCCCCCAGTTCCCCCAGGTAGCACCTCACTGCCTCTCTCAGACACATTCATCTTCAGTTATGGACTTGCACCTGGAGATGGTGTTTTTTTCTCCCCCTGCCCCACCAAAAGACAAACAGAATGTTGAATTTCAAAAAACCAATTTTTTGAATATCTTTATAGACATTTAAAAGACCATCTAGAAAGAATCTAGGCCTTTTGAAACTTCCATTTTGTTTGCCAGGCTGCTCAGTCTCTACAGTGTTTATCGCCACTGAGGTTAAATGCTGACACTGTCACCATGTGTGAACCCTTCCCAGCTGCACGGCGCAAATGAGTCCTTGTCAGCCTGGTTTGACGACTCCTCCTCTTCCTTCTTTGAAAGGCAGAGTTACAGAGAGAGAGGAAGAGAAGAGACACATCTTCCCTCCACTGGTTTACTCCCAGAAATGGTTGCAATGTCCAGGGCTGGGCCTGGAGGAATCAGGAGCCAGGAGCTTCTTTGGAGTCTCCTGTGTAGGTGCAGGGACCCAAGCACGTGAGCTATCTTCCGTTGCTTTCCCAGGCACATCAGGAGCTGCATAGGAAGTGAAGCAACTGGAACTAGAACTAGTGCCCATATGGGTGCCAGTGCCACAGCTTATAACTTTACCTGCTATGCCACAGTGTGCCAGGCCCCTTTATTTGACTTCTAGTGCACACAGTACACTGCCTGGCACAGGCTCAGTTGTCCAAGAAAATGATTGTGGAATCAGTGAGAGACATTTGGGAAGGAAGTGGTAACTACGGGATCTCCCCCACACATTCCTCTAGTACCCTGTTGCTGGAGGGGGTGAGCCTGCCCGCCACCCAGCCTCCCGGCCTGCAAGAAACAGACGGACAGGGGTTCCGTCTAAGCAGTTCCGATTTATTGGGGAAATTCAGATTCTTATATAGGGCAAGGGATGGCCTCAGGCCGGGAGTTTCAGGAATTCCAGGAGGGGAGAAACTAGGAGCCAATTACTAGGAGAATGACTACGGAAGCCACCTCCCATAGGCCAGGGTAGGTGAGCGAGATGGCCCTGGCCAGTCAGTCTTTCCTGTGACTCCTGCTCTGGTTCACGCCCAGGGCTCTGTCCTTGGCCGCCATCCTGCCTGCCAGTGACCTGGACTGTTAGTCGCCATCTTATTGACTTGTGACCTCTTTGCTCCTGAGCCCCACGGTAACTGCACCAAAGTTATGATCAAATCCTCCCAGCATCCAGGGTGTCATCCACGCTTCGCAAAGGAGTGGAGGTTGGGTAACCCGGCTTGGCGGGCTTGGTAAGGGCACGTCCCCTGTTCCGCCAGTCTGCCCTAGTCTGTCATTAGC